TTTATTACAGATTTTCATGACAGACCTGCCACCCAGTCTGCTAACCAAGTTTCAGAATAGCAAATCTGACTATTTCCAATATTTTGATCACCTATGCTTTCACTGTAATCAGTGATATATGAGAATGCAATTACATACTGATGAAAATTGTAAATTCAAAAATGAATACTGTTCCTTAAGCTAAGTCAAATATTGTAATCAATTACTGATGCTGAAGCTGTCCTGGTTAAACTCTGGAAGGTGGCAGATTGTTAATGGTTAAAAAGCAAATGAATGTACTAGACATCAAAGGTCATAAAGCACTAAGGAAAGTAGCGAAAAGGGTAAAGAGGGATGTTAATTATTAGATGTGCTACACACCAAAAGTCATGTAGCACTTTAGGATAGTATGGTATTGAAAAGTGAAAATAAAGATGAGGGGAAATAGTAATTGAGCAAGGCAGGGATTAGTAGTAAGGGGAAAGGGGGGTTAAGGGCAATTTGATCAAATGGAAGATACTTGTCTGTAAGAATAGAAACTGCAAATATCAGTGTAGAAGAGTTATCATGAAACAATCAAAGGAGTATCAGAGAAGTAGGAAGGGAAGAATTGGGGAACGAGATAAGGGATCAAGAGGAATGTCAACAGGGGAAGGATCTGGGGAAGGGCTCTGTTGTAACAAAAGGAGCAGAAGGGATAATTGGGAAGGAAGTGGGATTGATGTAAAGGGAGTATAGGGCAGTGGAGTATGTTGGGAGAGTGAGAAGGGGTGTAAGGGGAACATGAGAAGGAGGAGGATAGATGTGGGCAATCACTTTGAGTATAGAGGGAATGGGAGATGGAGATGGTTAATGAGAGACAGTCATGTTTTTTGGGGGGATCATTATTAGAAAGTTCTGAATGTCCTCAAGAGTTTTTGAAAGGGAATTGGTTGGAGATGTCTGAAAAGCAAAGGCTTTAAGAGAGGGTGAAGTGGGGGAGAAGAGGAAGAGGTTGGTGAGGAGAGGATACAGTAAGACAAGATGGAGTAGAACGTTTAGACTGGTTAATGTAATGGGGAGAGCAAGGAAATGGAGGGGTAGTTACTAGGGAATTTGAGATTGGAGTGTCTGGATTTAGAATGGCAAAAGAATTTGCTGAGAGACGTAGAGGATAGAAGTGAGAACACAGAGCCAGAGTAAAGGACAGCACTGGAAGAGGGGGCAAGTAAAAAACAATTCAGCATGCTTTCTGTTTGGCTTTATTCAAAGTGAGGCCAGGTTTGAATATAAGGACTTATCTCTGACATGAACTTGTAGGTAGGGCAGCTCCAATGAAATGCATTATGGGAGCCACCACAACTGACACACATGCATGATTGCACAGGGCATTTAGACCAATCATGGCTAGTTTGGGCCATGCATGATTGGATAGGGCAGGATTCTCCATTAACCCATTGCCGTTGGGGATGGCATGTACGTACATACCATACCCACTGTGAGTCGACTTGATTGATTGTTTTTACACATAGATGGCTACACTTGTACTAAGTCACCAGTGAGCCAATTACGAGTACTGCCTGTCTCGCCCATTCACCCTTTTCATTGATTTACGAAAATATTAAACTTTATCCTAATTTGCTGATAAAAATAACACCATTTTTATTTATAGCACTTGTAAGAATACGTTTTTTCCCACCAGTTCAAGGAAAGGTGAAATCAGGACTAGCAAAGCCATCTATGTACAGAGATATTTCACAAAAATATAGAAAATGAGTACAGTGTTTTCCCCATTTTTATTCATTTTCCCCGGCAGTAATGGGTTAATATAAATTTCATAGGGAAGGTTATGTCACAGAAGGTAATCTTAGCAATATTGATGTGGAACTTACTGCAGCCTCTGGGGGGTAATAGTGTAGCACTGTATTGATACTGCATCTGTCAATGAGGCAGATAAACAGGTCCTTTTCACAGTCTGACCAGTTTTGGTCATAGACAGGGAGATGTAAACAGTTCTGGTACAAGTATAAAGGGAGAAGTGAGGCTGAGCAGGAATAGGTTTGCCAGTGAGATCAGACAGGGTAGATAATGCATGAGCTTGTGACTCAGCTGTAATTGTGACAAGATGTGAACAATTGGAACAGCTGCGAAGGAAACTTTGCCTACTTGTTTTTGGAGACATTGTTACATATCAGGTTGAAGGACAATAGTCATACTAAGTCTAGTGGAATGTAAATGTAAGCATTGTGGAGGCTGGGCAGCTAAAGGCTAATGGTTAATGATTAATGGTTAAAAAGCAAATGAATGTACTAGACATCAAAGGTCATAAAGCACTAAGGAAAGTAGCGAAAAGGGTAAAGAGGGATGTTAATTATTAGATGTGCTACACACCAAAAGTCATGTAGCACTTTAGGATAGTATGGTATTGAAAAGTGAAAATAAAGATGAGGGGAAATAGTAATTGAGCAAGGCAGGGATTAGTAGTAAGGGGAAAGGGGGGTTAAGGGCAATTTGATCAAATGGAAGATACTTGTCTGTAGGGCAAGAAAAAACAATTCAGCATGCTTTCTGTTTGGCTTTATTCAAAGTGAGGCCAGGTTTGAATATAAGGACTTATCTCTGACATGAACTTGTAGGTAGGGCAGCTCCAATGAAATGCATTATGGGAGCCACCACAACTGACACACATGCATGATTGCACAGGGCATTTAGACCAATCATGGCTAGTTTGGGCCATGCATGATTGGATAGGGCAGGATTCTCCATTAACCCATTGCCGTTGGGGATGGCATGTACGTACATACCATACCCACTGTGAGTCGACTTGATTGATTGTTTTTACACATAGATGGCTACACTTGTACTAAGTCACCAGTGAGCCAATTACGAGTACTGCCTGTCTCGCCCATTCACCCTTTTCATTGATTTACGAAAATATTAAACTTTATCCTAATTTGCTGATAAAAATAACACCATTTTTATTTATAGCACTTGTAAGAATACGTTTTTTCCCACCAGTTCAAGGAAAGGTGAAATCAGGACTAGCAAAGCCATCTATGTACAGAGATATTTCACAAAAATATAGAAAATGAGTACAGTGTTTTCCCCATTTTTATTCATTTTCCCCGGCAGTAATGGGTTAATATAAATTTCATAGGGAAGGTTATGTCACAGAAGGTAATCTTAGCAATATTGATGTGGAACTTACTGCAGCCTCTGGGGGGTAATAGTGTAGCACTGTATTGATACTGCATCAGTCAATGAGGCAGATAAACAGGTCCTTTTCACAGTCTGACCAGTTTTGGTCATAGACAGGGAGATGTAAACAGTTCTGGTACAAGTATAAAGGGAGAAGTGAGGCTGAGCAGGAATAGGTTTGCCAGTGAGATCAGACAGGGTAGATAATGCATGAGCTTGTGACTCAGCTGTAATTGTGACAAGATGTGAACAATTGGAACAGCTGCGAAGGAAACTTTGCCTACTTGTTTTTGGAGACATTGTTACATATCAGGTTGAAGGACAATAGTCATACTAAGTCTAGTGGAATGTAAATGTAAGCATTGTGGAGGCTGGGCAGCTAAAGGCTAATGGTTAATGATTAATGGTTTAAACAAATAAAAGTATTGTGGTGAAAGGGGTTTGAATGAGTTCTTTACTATATCTTATATGAGATAGAATGGTAGTAAAAAGGCATAGCTCCTTGGAGACAAAAAACGCACAATGTCGAGAAAGGAAGAATGGAGGCCTGATTCAGCATACAGCCTCTCAACTGGAGAGGATCAGAAAATGCTTAGGGCTAAACAAAGACCATAATGGTGGATTGTGTCAATGTGTGTGAGAGGCAGAGTATATAAAACAGCCATAATCAAGAGTGGAGAGGATTAGTGTAATATGGAGGCATATGATACCACATGGAGGAATATTTTGAAGTCTAAACCCCATGATATATGGGAGAGAGTCTAGGAGAGTCAGAGGCAATGGCAGGTTTTTACTTTAACAAAAAGCATATGATCTTGCCAAGACAGTTTAGAGTCAAAAATGATACCAAGGAACTTGCCTGTAGAGTGGAATTGGAGAGGAGCATCATATAAAAAAGTGAAGGATGGCAGCCTATACGTAAAAAAAAAATCGTGGAAAAGGTTTTAGAGATAGAAAATCAAAAACCATGGTTGGTGGCCCAAAAAGAGGGTGATGTTATTCCAGACCGGAGAAACTGACTGAGAGTAGGTAGGGCCAGAGGCATAGATGGTAAAAGCATCAGCAATAACCGGATACCTGGTGGTAGAGCTGAAACTGATTTGTTTACAGCAGTGAGAAATAATGTTGTGCTGAGCACATTACTTTGTGGGTCACCTTTGCATTGAGGGAAAGAAGAGGCAAATCTGACATGGAAGGTGCAATTGGAAAGAAAGGACTTTATGAAAACACCCATGTTCCAAGTATGTCGTGGGAAGATAGTTGTTTATTAAAGGATATGGTACCACCATGTGGTATCATATGCCTTTACTAGATTGAAGAAGACAGTTAATATTGAATCACAAAGTGAAAATCCTGTGTAGCTTGTATAGGCAGAGGAAGGGTACCAGGTTTATTTGGTTTTAGGAAAGTACAAGGGCTCCATGCTGGTGGGAAGGAATGTTTACGGTTGTCCTCGTTACTGAACATTGATAAAATGGAAGACAGGGAAATAGGTGTGGTGTTGTAACATACACCATTATATACCGTCTGGACCTTTGTGACTAACATGACTGTAATGCATAATAGAGTTCAAAAGAAGAAAAAATGGTGTAGATGATGTTATGGAGGAAACTAATTTTGCCAGCTGTTTGTGATATAATCACATATTGTACAGCGAAAAGGAGCTGATGCCTTTTTAACCCATTCACGCCGGGTGTCACGTATACGTGACGGGCCCACTGTGAGTTTATTTGTTTAATTGTTTTCACACATAGATGGCTACACTTGTACTTGTACTGCCTGTGTCGTCTGTTTACCCTTTTCTTTAATTTATGAAAATATCTTACGTTATCTTATTTTCTGTTACTAATGTTTATAACATTATAGTAATTATAATGTTTATAATAAAAATAACCATCGATATTCTTAGCACTAGTAAAATACATTTTCCCGCCAATTCAAGTAAAGGTGAAATCAGGTAAGGCAGAGCCATCTAGTGCAGAGACATTTCATTAAAAAATATAAAAAATGAGCACAGCATTTTCCCCATTTTTTTTTCATTTTTACCCGGCACAAATGGGTTAAATTATATGAAAACTTAATTGACCAGGGGTGTCTCTTTTGTAATGATACCAGTTCCAAGCTGCACACTTCTACGTGTAAGGTTGGGAAATTCTTGGAATGGCTGTATAGACTGCATTTAGGATATTGGCTGTGAAATATTGAGGCATGTCTGAAGTGGAAGATAAGGAAGTTGGAGGAAGATCAAGAGTAGAGAGAGAGGTAAAAGTATGCCAGTCAGCTCTATCAAAGCACCACCGAGGGAGGGGGGGGCATAGGAAGTAGGAGAAAGGAGAATAGAAAAATGATCACTATAATGAAGGTGGTCTAGACAAATGGAAGAAGAACAAAAAGAAAAATCAAGTCATGAAAAGGATTGGTATGCAAATGAAAGTGGTTGGGACAGTTTGAGTTTAGGAGGACAAGGTCAGTATTAGAGATAGTGTTCCATGGAGCAACCTCAGGAAGTAATGATGGAATCATCTCAAAGAGTGTGGCAACAGTTAAAACCTCCAGCTATGAAGAAAGGTGGTTGGAGTTATTAAAGTAAAGTTTCAAACACTATAAAGTCAATGTGAAGGAAAGGGGAGAAGTAAATTGAAACAATTGTGATCCAGCAGTGAAGATGCAAGGTAGTGGTTTGTAAGGGAGGTATAATATACGTTGTTTATGATAGACAAGTATAGAGGACACAGGTAGAGAGTGAGGATATGATACAAAATGGTTATTGGGAATTGCTACCAGGGGATGTGTAAGAAAGGTTTCTTGGTGGCAGACAATGGATGTTTTATTGGAAGTTGGGAGGTGGCGAAGGTCAGGTCTGTAAGAACAGAAACCTTGAATATTCCACTGCAGAAGAGCCATTGTGAAGCAATCAACTGGTAATTAGGGTAGAAATGAGTGTTGTAGAAGTAGGTGAACCCAAGGAATGAGGTAGGGAATCAGGGAAAGGAGGTGTAGTATCAGGAGGTTAATCAGGAAATGAAGGGTCCGGGGAACGCCACTTGTGACTAAAGAAATTCACGTGAATATCCATGAGGAGAATGGATGTCTGTAGTCACATTGAATGGACATGAAATGGGGTTAGAGGAACTGGAGGATGGTTGAGGGAAAGGAGATTTTTCTTGGGTCATGCTTTGGAAGTTTTGGATGTCCTCAAAGGTTTCTGGAGGGGAGTTGGGTAGGGAGGTTTGGAAAACAAAGGATTTTTCATGAGGTGGTAAAGAGGAGATGGGTATCTGAGGAGTAGATGTGGGTGTGACAAGGGATGTGGCAAGAGAAGATAGGGTGGAACGAGGAGGAAGAGGAGTTGTGGGTATTGTAGTATCTGGATTTAGAATGGAAAAAGGGATTTGACTGGGAGATTCGGGTAGTAGAGGTGGGAAGGTGAGGAGATGGGAGAAGAGGTACTGAGGAAGATGTAGAGACAGCTTGGATAGCACTGGAGTAGGGAATGATAGAAACACCTCGTCAGTGTGCTTTCTGTCTGGTCTCTCGTTGAGTGAGTCGACATGGTATGACAAAGCAAAATTCTCCGCCGATGTAGATCTTATGGGGAAGGTCATGTCTGTGGAAGGTAATCTTGGCGATAATGATGTGGAACTTATGGCGGCATCTGGGGAATTGTGTAGCGCTGCACTGATATTATATCAAAAACTATCATCTCCCTTTACTAGTCAGGTCGGGACGTCCCACTTAATACACCACCGGAGTTTGGTGCTGAACGTCTCAAGTTCATGACGTCATCGTTTGAAGGGGTGGAGCCAATTAATTCCACAGCACCGTGGAAGAGACAGTTTCACTACTCCTTTTGCACCTGGATGCGATAATTCCGCAGGTCAATTAGCTAGCTATGACGTTAGATCCCTAAATCAGGACGTCTGACCTGGTAGTTAAAGGAGGTGACAGCAATAGTCAACGAGGCAGGCGATTGAGTAGGTCTTCTTCAGTCTGACCAATCCTTGTAAATCAGGCAGTCAACCCAGTACAAGTATTAAGGGAAGAGTGGGGTTTACCAGTGAGGTTAACCAGGGAAGATAGTAAATGGGCTTGGGACTCGGTTGTAATTGTAACAAGCCATGAATGAGCAGGATATTGCTTTCTTATTTTTGGAGGCATTGTTGGAAGAGTAGGATACTGTCAGAGTAAAGGGTTGTAAGGGGAATCACAAACAATTTGTAAAGGTTTGTAAAGGTGGGAATTGTAGAGGGACGAGGACAGAAGGAAGTGGTGTAGAGTGAGGTGGTACTGGGAGGGGGGGGGGGGGCAATACTGTTGAAGAGTTGTAATAAGAGAGGAGGAGTATTGTGCAGATGGGGTGATAAACATTGGAAGTGAGGAAGGAGTGTTTTTTGAAGGTTGTTAGATGATTCAGGATGGGTCAAGTTGACAAGTGTTGAGTAACATAGTGCAGTAGCAGTGACCGGTACCATGATCAAAGGAGTCAGGAGTCGGTAAATCAAAGGCATTAGATTCAGGGAGGTTACTTGATAGAGGAGCAAGGGTCAGTGCCCCTAACAAAGATACAAAATCTTCATTACTGGGCATGGCAACTACAAAATATGTGGGGAAGATTAAAAATCCAGTCCCCATACAGGGTAAGGGATAGACAATTAACCAAGGGAATACCATACCCATGGCTCCCTGGGGCCATTTATAACTGGCACAAAGTCAGCCTTTCATCCTTTCAACAGGGCTCTCACTATGTAGGAATTGGACACAAGGGGTTGAGGAAGATAAGGAAAAGGAAAGAGGGGGAAGAAAAGACCATGCAAAATTAGTCAAGTCAGGAGCTGAGGCCCAGAGTAGGCGAGATCCCCAACAATGATGATTGGTTAATGGTTAAAACAAATACTTGTGCTATACATCAAAGGTCGTATAGCACAATGTTAAAGCACTGCAGCAAAAAGGGTAAAAATGAGTTAACGATTAGGATAAGTGGGATGAAGGAGAAGGAAAAGGAAAGGGGGAGAAGAAAAGACCGTGCAAATTTAGGGCTCAGGTCCAAGGTAGGGGTGATCTCTTACACTGATCCTGTCTCCGTCTCCTACCCCCCCAATGACAACAACGGACTAGGGAGGTGAAGGGGTGCTGGAGGTTAGTGAATCTTTTGCGGCTTATATAATTTTGGATACCAAAATGAACATGGCAAAATTCAGTGTATTCATAGCTACAGCTCTTCCTGTTTGCATAACTATGTTTATAACTTTTTTGCTACAGAATACTACACACTGGAGAAATATATCCAAATTAAGTGCAGTGGCAAATTCATTAAAATATGATACTATTAACTTTAATTAAATCAAAGGAAAAAGTAAACACTCAAATGATAGACATCTTATATTTACATCTGATAGCTGAGTTACATGTATGTACATGATAAATGTTACATGTTATGTACATATACAAATTTTTTGAGACCTTAAAATTCACTACCAGATAAAAAAAGTAAATATTTGCTTTAAATCAAAGGAACAATGTTTGCTTTAAAGATGATAGACTGATAAATCACAGTTAATCACAATTATATAGTAAACACATCTCAGGTAAAAAATTGTACTCTTTTGCGAGATAATGCATCTCCATGTACATTGTGACAAGAATTTATTACCCAATTCAAATACCTTTTAAGATAGTATTGTTGATTACAGAACTTAAATATTAAGGCACAAAAGAATTACTTTACACATTGCCATTCTATAGAAAAAAATTTACATTTATCTTACATGAGAGCATAAACCATACTGTAGACTTGGAGAAGAGAATGCAACTTCAACAACAATTTTTTTTGCCGAATTTTGCACAGAACTCCAAAAGTTAAACATGATTTCACAAACATACAAAGGTAAATGATATGTAAACATTTTTGCATTCCTTATCATCTCTACAATAAGATTTGATACTCACTACCTGAAACCCAGCACAGACAGACCAAGCACTTAACTTGATTCTGTTCCTTGAGGATATTCAAGAGCATCATAAATTATATATAAAACTGCTATCAAGACAACTTATATACAGTAAAACTTGGTCCTTTAAATTTTTGGTTGCCATTTTACAATGACTTAAAATTCCAATTTTTCCTCATTATCTTAAACCAAATAAATATGACCTTTTCAGGTGCCAATTAGTATATACATATAGGGCTACATTTATATATATTTATATAAATATATTTCTCCTGAGTTCAAAATACATCACTCAATAGACTAAATGTGGGAGAAGACAAGCTAATAGTACATGCAACTTTTCATATTTCTTAACTATTTGGCTGACCTGACTTTAAAAGGAAAATTTTGATGATTACATTTCTTATTGCTTAAACTTTTGATATTTTGAGACTTCATTACTATGAGTGAAAGATCTCCTATTGGTTGCACAAAAATAAGTTAGAAAAAAACAGTAAATTTTCACTGCACTCAACACATCTACAAATAACTAAAAACATTATCAGACAAGGTTGTAGACGAAACACATTCAGAAGCAAAGACACAGACAAAGGTCAGACCAGGGAACCAGGTTAACATTTTCCTCCATTCTTTTTTCTTCTTCCATCACATTTCGTCTTGTAATCTGAACCATTCCTCACAGCGCATTCCTACCACATTATATCCTGGGACATGCACTATGGTTCAAAAAAAGGCACACAGTTTATCTAAACTTCTACTAGACAATTTGGACAGTTAAGATCACATTTGTTTGCATTTCACTTTCTAACACAAATCATACACTGCTGAAATCAGATACTTTCATATGGTATATAAATATATCTTAACTTTCAGTGGTGCAAGAACAGAATGTTAAAATAAAAGACCTTTCCTGTAACAACAAAATGCATAAGCCGTAATCCTATATCCATTATAAAAAAGAGATTATTATTTACATAAACAGCACTTTGCAGAGAATGCCTTGTCAACTAATATGATACACCAGGCAACATTTTTAGCACCTCAAGAATTGGGCACATATTCACAGGCAATCTAATGAGATCACACAAGTAAAACAAAAAACAAAAAATAAAAAATTAGGATAAGAAAATAATTTTCTTCTATTCTGTAATAAAGAAAAATGTGCAAGATAAAAGTTATCTTCCATAACACAGTTAAATCTATAAAACAAACATACACACCCTCACACACTTCATTTTCTTGGAGTAGCAGATGTTCTGAAGACTTTTCTTGGTGTGGCGGGAGTTTTGTGAGTCTTCTCTTGACTTCTTGTCACCATCGACTTATGGCTCCATGTGTGAGAGCGAGTATGAACCCTGGCAGATTTTGGAATAGGTTCTTCTGCAGATTCTGCTTCGATGTCAGAAGTTCTTTTTCTCTTGGGTGTCACAGTTTTTGGTACATTCTGGACAACTGTTTCTGTTGTCCCTCTATTAACTGACTTAAGCACACGATTACTTGGATCAACAGCAGAATTACCAAGAGCTTTCAAAGACCTGGCACTAGTTCCTGCAGTCTCCTCTTTCTCTTGTTCTTTCCATTCATTGTTATTATTGGAAGCAACAGGGGTCTGCTCTTTATTTTCAATTTCCATTCCTGGTGGCACATGGATATTCGATCTTGTCCTTCTTCTGCCATCACTCTTCTCTGATGCCAAATTCCCTCCTAAGGACTTTCCTCTACCAGCCATTCCTCTGTGCTTTCTTCCTCTTGCATCTATTCCTGGACTTGTGGTGCTACTTGACACAACTGGAATTTGTATATCATCTCTCAGTGGCCTAGTGTCTAATCTACTTTCTGTCAAATTTTCTGGTTTGATTTCAGTTCTAGTTTCTGATCTGTTTTCTGGTACATTTTCTAATACACTTTCAGGCAAGGGCTCTTTTGAAGTTTCTGGTCTGTAGTCTGACATTTTTTCTAATATACTTTCCCGTGGCATAGACGGTGGTAGTGCCTGACTGGTAGGGGGTAGCAATCGGGATGTAAACTGATCCTGAGCATTAGTTACATTGTCACTTGATGTACTCGGAACTGCATGTACACTTGCACAGCCACACTCAGAACAACCCACTTTAGTTGATTCCACACCTAGTGTAGTGGTATGACCACCTTCACCAATATTACTCCCACTGTTACAGCCTAAGCTACTACCATTTTCTTGGTCAAGATCTGAACACCCCTGGTTCTCATCTGGTCCATCTGGCTGATTTTCCTGACCCAAGTCTTGTTGGTTTGTCTGCCATTTCTCAGGAAGACGCTCCTTAATCCTTAGAACACCTCGGTTACCTTCATGCCGTGTTGCTTGGCTCTGGTTGTATACATGAACTTTGACTGTGGCTTCCTGTGTTCTGTCTTCTTCAGCAGCTGGTCGTCTGGTAGCTGGCTTTGTGGGAGAACCCTTCTTCATACCCTTCTGTTGCAAAAGTACCTACAAAAGAAAATGGTAGTTTATAATTCAATTATAACAATATTTCTCCTTGCATATAATGTAGCTGTATGATCAATCATCCAAGTATATAGAAGTTATTACTATTTTCATTAAAAAATGTAGAAATAATAAAACCTTACCTCTCTCTTCGGTCTGCCTGGAGGATCAAGGAAGACTGTGACCGCACTTGTATTATCTGCTCTGAGATTAAGTTTGAGGTAGCGTCCCAAGGCTCCAGATACTACTGAGCGGGATGGATTCACCCATAATCTTTGCTGCAAATAGTAATAAACTTTAAAATTTGTAAGAAAAAACGTACACAAACTGACGCATATAATCTTTCCATTCAATAAATCCTTTTCAATATTCAGAGCCTTCATCATCCCTCCAAAAAATATATATCTGGAGGTTAGCATACAATTTCTTAGAAGAGTTACTCTTTAAATTTTCCTTTGAAATATAACTCACCTTCCCACATGAGGTAGGTATGCCTAAATAATGTTTTTCATTATTTTTCTCTGCTGAATGGGCCACACTAACTGCAGCATCAGGTGTAAGCACATTCCAGAGGCCATCTGTACCAAAGATGAGACATCTATGCCGTTTAATATCTATTGGCATGACACACACATCTGGCTCTGGGGATACTACAAACTGGTCATTTGTAGCATTATAGCTCCACAAATCACCTGAAAAACAAGGCCACAGTTAGACACCTGCACACATTAGAGAATGAAGTTGTAAGTTAGGTTTGCAAGACATTAGCTTTAAAAATAAGAAGTTTAGCAGTTCATCATGATGCTTCACATCTCATCCCACCAGTAAACTAACCTAAAGATCTAGCAACTGCCAGGAAAGGAATTTCATCCATTGGTGTAGATCTGCGTACAGGACCCTGGTGACCTGACTTTGGCCTGTTCCACACCACACGTGGCACCCCAGATTTGTTTATGACCTTGCCACCACATTCTGTGATACGTGTCTTTTCTGCTATACTCTCAGGCTTGTGGTCCCGGGTCAGAGCCTCACCATGCCAACCACCATCTGTAAGTTAAGATAAATAATTTTATTAATTTTTCTTTTCTAAGACCTAGAGTATAACTGCTACATCATATATAAATTCACTTTTCAAATACATTGGGGGGAATTGACACAAGGTTACCCCATTTACCTGGGTCTTCACAGCCAAGAACAATGCCTGAATCACCAACATGACCAATGTAAATCTTTTGTCTTCTGATGAATGCTACACTTGCTGTTGTTCCACTTGTACTTGGCCACCCTGAAGCAGTTCTAGGCCATTGGTCTGCAAATAAAAAATTAAAATAAGTTTTTTTTCAATTATCAAGATTGTAAGAACAATCTCCTTCATACTTTATATATAAAGTACATTTTTCATAGAAATTGTCCATTTTCTGAATATACACTAATAGAAGATTAAAGACAGTTTACTCCCTCTAATAGATCTTTTATTTTTTCATAAAAAAGTTACAGAATTAGTTAGCTATCTTATTATAGCAGCACAAAACTTTTCAGTGAGAATATGTGATCACAGTTTTTTTCTTTTGACAAGGTCTGGCCACAATTTTTGACTAATTGATATGAGGCTTCCATATTTTGTCAAAAAACAACTTTCCTCCATTTATGCCGTTTCTTGTCTATGTAGTCAACTGGATACAAATTTGGTAATAATAATAATAAAATTAAATAAATAAATAAACTCCAGAAATCCCAAAATGAGGGTTATATCAGAGAACAAAAAAGTACAATAAATGTTGAGATATGTCAATCAGACCTGACCATTAGTTAAAATAATTGGGGAATGCTATTCTGACATTTTATACAAATAAGTAGGCCTGGCTTGTCTTACCTATATGCAAAAAAAAAGGGTGCAAGTTGCAAAGGTCTAGCTCTACTATTACTTTTTGCTATTACCTTTTTTCTTTTTGTTTAACAATCCTCTTAACCCAAGTGGATGTGTGCCCCAAACATTTTTTTTTTTCTTTTAATGAAATCTCTAAGTCAATGGCAACATCTATCACTATAAATACACATAATCACGTTAATGTCATGACACTGACATGTTTTCCATTTTCTCTCTATAAAATACTCAACCTAAACAAGGCCACAGTTAGACACCTGCACACATTAGAGAATGAAGTTGTAAGTTAGGTTTGCAAGACATTAGCTTTAAAAATAAGAAGTTTAGCAGTTCATCATGATGCTTCACATCTCATCCCACCAGTAAACTAACCTAAAGATCTAGCAACTGCCAGGAAAGGAATTTCATCCATTGGTGTAGATCTGCGTACAGGACCCTGGTGACCTGACTTTGGCCTGTTCCACACCACACGTGGCACCCCAGATTTGTTTATGACCTTGCCACCACATTCTGTGATACGTGTCTTTTCTGCTATACTCTCAGGCTTGTGGTCCCGGGTCAGAGCCTCACCATGCCAACCACCATCTGTAAGTTAAGATAAATAATTTTATTAATTTTTCTTTTCTAAGACCTAGAGTATAACTGCTACATCATATATAAATTCACTTTTCAAATACATTGGGGGGAATTGACACAAGGTTACCCCATTTACCTGGGTCTTCACAGCCAAGAACAATGCCTGAATCACCAACATGACCAATGTAAATCTTTTGTCTTCTGATGAATGCTACACTTGCTGTTGTTCCACTTGTACTTGGCCACCCTGAAGCAGTTCTAGGCCATTGGTCTGCAAATAAAAAATTAAAATCAGTTTTTTTTCAATTATCAAGATTGTAAGAACAATCTCCTTCATACTTTATATATAAAGTACATTTTTCATAGAAATTGTCCATTTTCTGAATATACACTAATAGAAGATTAAAGACAGTTTACTCCCTCTAATAGATCTTTTATTTTTTCATAAAAAAGTTACAGAATTAGTTAGCTATCTTATTATAGCAGCACAAAACTTTTCAGTGAGAATATGTGATCACAGTTTTTTTCTTTTGACAAGGTCTGGCCACAATTTTTGACTAATTGATATGAGGCTTCCATATTTTGTCAAAAAACAACTTTCCTCCATTTATGCCGTTTCTTGTCTATGTAGTCAACTGGATACAAATTTGGTAATAATAATAATAAAATTAAATAAATAAATAAACTCCAGAAATCCCAAAATGAGGGTTATATCAGAGAACAAAAAAGTACAATAAATGTTGAGATATGTCAATCAGACCTGACCATTAGTTAAAATAATTGGGGAATGCTATTCTGACATTTTATACAAATAAGTAGGCCTGGCTTGTCTTACCTATATGCAAAAAAAAAGGGTGCAAGTTGCAAAGGTCTAGCTCTACTATTACTTTTTGCTATTACCTTTTTTCTTTTTGTTTAACAATCCTCTTAACCCAAGTGGATGTGTGCCCCAAACATTTTTTTTTTCTTTTAATGAAATCTCTAAGTCAATGGCAACATCTATCACTATAAATACACATAATCACGTTAATGTCATGACACTGACATGTTTTCCATTTTCTCTCTATAAAATACTCTCAACAACAATATCTAGACAGTTTACTTAATTTTTGGAAGCTTCCAATATTTATTTTAAAAATTAAGTCTTTAAATATCTAATTCCCAGGTAAGTTTTCTGTAGTGTGGGAAAAGAACAAATCTTATAAAAGCTATGTTTAACTCATTACTGACATTTCATACAATATGGCATTTATCATTATTAGGCAATGTAATCTTTTTACAAATTGCCAACTTGTCTATATCATTAGCAAACTGCGGGGGAGGGGGGGGGGGTTACATTATCATGAAAAAATTTGGCTTGAGGGGCGGATGATATAAACATGCTGTCAAGGGAAATTTTGGCTGAGGGCCAAGGTGACAGGAATTGGCCACCATGAGAACTTCGGCTGAAGGCTGGGGTGATGGGAATGATTTGCCACGTGTGCAAAATGCTCTTGGATCATTACTCAATAGGTATTTAGGAAGTGGCTTTTGCAATTTCCATCAATAAATGAGTGTTGAATATACCATCCATGAGCCATGACTAGAAGGGCACTGGCTCTAGGGAAGACTTTTATTTCCATGCTCAAGATCCTTTTCCTGTGTTGTGACTGGCAGCACAGACTGATTATGGAAAATATTAAAAATAACACAAATAAGAGTGTTACTTATTGTTATTATTCTTGCAATGAGTTATGGACTACCTAGATATATGATATGGATCTGTGCAAGGATCCGTGATGGGAATGATTTGCCACGTGTGCAAAATGCTCTTGGATCATTACTCAATAGGTATTTAGGAAGTGGCTTTTGCAATTTCCATCAATAAATGAGTGTTGAATATACCATCCATGAGCCATGACTAGAAGGGCACCGGCTATAGGGAAGACTTTTATTTCTATGCTCAAGATCCTTTTCCTGTGTTGTGACTGGCAGCACAGACTGATTATGGAAAATATTAAAAATAACAGAAATAAGAGTGTTACTTATTGTTATTATTCTTGCAATGAGTTATGGACTACCTAGATATATGATATGGATTCTGTGCAAGGATAAGAGTCTATCACCATCTGGATAAAGCAAATCAAATGATACAAGTGTTAATGAGTGCCTAACCTAGCTGCAGAGTCAACTCACATAAGCCTAATACCTGTACTTTGGGCCACATGATGGCAATGAAGCATCCAGATCCATAAAAGGGTCTAGCATCCTTAACCTATTGGATTTGAGTGATAGGTATTTGCTACAGAAAAATTTGGCTGAGGGCCAGGGTGATGGGAAGGTCTCACAATGGGATATTGTTCTTGAATGGTGGGTTGAAGGGGATACATCAACATGAGTATACAAAGCTTCTACTGGTAAACAAGGGAGGATACTGTCTAAATGCAGGAACCTATTCTTGCTCACCATGACCAGGACAGACTATTATGGCAAACTTGCATGCATGCGCACACACAAAATAATCATGAAAAAAAATAATAAATCAATAATAATAATAATGATAAAATATAAAATAATTATAACAATAACAAAATATAAAATAATAATAATAGTGTTACTCACTGCTACTGTTACTGCACAAAGTGTAAACTATCTGGTCAAAAACAGTCTATTACCACTATGATCCAGCATAACACGTAACAAATAAATATAGACCTCAGAAGAGAATTAAAAAAAAAAAAAAAAAAAAAAAACATCTGCAGGAAAAAAGCTACAAGCAGTGAAAAGAGGAGGCAAGAAGTTTTGATACTGTTTTGAATGTTCATATGTGCTTGGCCTATAGCCCCAAACTCAGGAGAGTCACCACTCATATAAGTCTGATGCCTAGAATTTCATTCAAGTTCCAAAGTGTACCTCAGTACCACCAGTTTATTCCTTACACTAGGACTGAGGGCCAGGGTGACAAATACTATATTTCTTTTTCTTCATTAAATCACTACATGGAACAAACAACTGGTTGCTAACATTGAGCAATGTTCTGGACTGATAGTTCAGAGAACTATCAATACCTGTGGAAATGTCCTATGTCAATATTATTAATGCCTGAATGTCAGCTGCATTTAGCTTGGCAATTGGGTCCACATTTGTCATGCCTAATGTGTTTGTAGATGCTTAAGGACATTTTTTTTCACATTTTAAAACAAGCTTCACCTAGTAATTCTTTATCTCTTGACTATTATTTTAACCCATTGCCGCCGGGGATGGCATGTACGTACATGCCATGCCCAATGTGAGCCGACTTGGGCGATTGTTTTTACACATAGATGGCTACACTTGTACTAAGTATCCAATGAGCCAATTACGAGCACCGCCTGTCTCGCCCGTTCACCCTTTTCATCGATTTACGAAAATATTTAACGTTATCCTAATTAGCTGTTAAAAATAACACCATCTATATTTATAGCACTAGTAAGAATACGTTGTTTTCCGCCAATTCAAGGAAAGGTGAAATCAGGACTAGCAGAGCCATCTATGGACAGATATATTTCACAAAAATATAAAAAATGAGTACTGTATTTCCCCCATTTTTTGTTCATTTCCCCTGGCAGCAATGGGTTAAGTATCCCCTGCTTTTGTCTGGTAAAATACTTTTGATTTTCTTTCCTATCAAGATATTCCCAATTTCATTCTTTACGAAAACAGAACATCCATCCCTTTTTCATCAGCTGTGAAATAAAAAGTCCCCCAGCATTCTGGAACTTGTTCTTGACCCCTTGGATCTGGGTGAAGTGGCCATCATATCATGAAAAATTTGGCTAAGGGTCAGGTTCACAGAAACATGCAGCCATGAGAGTTTTGTCTGATGCCCAGGGTGACAGGAATGCCTTCACACAAGTGAACAAAATTTTTGGACAGTGATTAGACTTGCATTACTTCCATTGGTAAACAAGTGTGGAATGTATCATCTATGACTGGAAGAGTGCCAGCTCCAGGGAGAACAGTATGTCCATGCTCGGAAAAGGGTAAAGAGCAGAAAATTGATTAAAAAAAAAAAAAAAAAAAAAAAAAAGACAAAATGTTACTTATTATTATTGCACTGTGTTACAGTTACATAATACAGCACATCAACTAACAAAAACATGACCTTGGAATATGGCAAAAGAGCAAAAGACAAAAAAGAAATAACATTGGAAAGGAGAAGAAATGAGTCCTGACACCGTGCACGAGTTTTGGCATGTGAGGTAGAGTCCAAAATCAGGTTGGCAATGGAGGCTGCTTTTTGCATGTTAAATAGCTCTGGTAGTACTAGTTTCTGAACTATAGCTTTCCAAAGCCAAAATAAAATGTTTCTATGCTTTTATGGAAAAGCAATAATCAGCTTGTCCAATATCAAAGACAAGGGGAAAAATTTTGTTCCAATACTCCCAAATTTTATCTCATGAGGGCAATCTTGATATCAACCTTTAAGCAGCACTAAATTCTATCCCAGCTCCATTGAGTTAAGAAGACTGTGTGTTGTGCTGTGCATGTCTGTCTAATACTGATCACAAAATCATTTTTGGGGGTTTATTAAATTTATATGTGCCATGTGTATTATGCTTGACTATCTTTTATGTAATCAAAGGTTTGCTGATTCCCATATTGAGGGATACCTCTAAATAAGACTTTCTATTTCTTAGTCAAGTGACAACCCATTTTTTCTTTCCACTGCCCTAACTTCTTTTTTAATTGTTTTAGCTAAAACTAAGTTAGTTCCTATTAACTCACAGATACTGGAATGGCAAAAATACATGCCATGTCCATGTTTATTCATTGCATTTGCTCACAGATAGCCCCACAAGTGTCAATTACAAGTCAAACTCACCTCACTTATTCATCCTTTTCCTTCATTTCTTGAAAGATTCTTTTTTACCCTTTATTGCTGTTGTCATTTCTAATAACATTACAATGATCATAATGTCAATAGTAATAACATAATACAGCATTAGAAAAAACATTTTCCCCAAAACTGATGTGATCAAATAGGCTTACTCCTTGTGGGCTGAGAACTTGTGAAGCCATCTATGTGCAAATAAAATTCACATAAACTAGTAACAAAGAGTTATTTAACCCCCTATGATGTGGGTAACCTGATCATGATGTCGTGAAAAATTTGGCGTGAGGGGCAGGTGAGGTGAACATGCCGTCACAGGAAGAAGGAGAAGAAGAAACTGAGGGCTAGTGAGACAGGAACATGCCGTCATGAGAATTTTGGCTGAATTCTGGGGTAACAGGAACGATTTGAAATGAGTGCCCATAACTCTTGGAGAATAATAAGACTCAGTGGGTACTGAGTATGGGGCTCTTACAAATACCCATTAATAAGTATGGAATAAACTATCTGCGAGCCATGACTGGAAGAGTACCAGCTCCAGGGAGAAATCTATTTCTATGCTCAGGATCCTATTCCTGCCTGCTTTGAACAGCAGCACATTTGTATTACAGAAAACTGAAGATAAAAAAGGATAACAAAAATAAATAAAACAAAAAATGACACAAATAACAAAATGTTTCTACTGCACTTAGTTACAGACTACCTAAAGAGATGATGTGAATTCTCTGCAAGGAAACTCATCTATTAAAATCTGGATAATGCAAATCAAATGACAAATATAGACTTTTGAATATGGAAAAAAAGGAGCAAAAAATGCTTATGCTAAAAGAAATACCATTGAAAAGGGGTGACAAGTCTTGCCAATTGCCTGGATTTTGGACCACATGCAAGCAGTGTCCAGACGCAAGGGATTAACAACAATAACAACAAATATTACTGAGAAAATTGTACTTGCAAATTATCTTTCTTATGTAATAACTTTTTCTCCTTTTCTAACAACTCAAATATATAACTAGCATCCTTTCATCTATACTTTAACCTTCTGTTACCTAAAGATATCTCAATTTGGTTTTGTAATGGAAAAGAGGAAAAGAAAGAAAAAAACAAAACACTTAAGAGGACCCTCAAACATACATGAACAACTGCATCTTACTGTATATTAACACAATGCCGCCAGGGAAAATGAATAAAAAATGGGGAAAATGTGTTCATTTTTCATATTTTTGTGAAATGTCTCTGCACATGGATGGCTCTGCTACTGCTTAGCTTTACCTGATTTCACCTTTCCTCGAATTGGTGGGAAAAATGTATTCTTTTACTTATGCTATGAATATCAATGGTGTTATTTTTAATATAAACATTATAATTATTATGTTATAATCATTAGTAACAGCAAAATAAGATAACGTAAAATATTTTCGTAAATCAAAGAAAAAGGTAAACGGGCAAGATCAGGCAGTTCTCGTAATTGGCTCCTTGGTGACTACTAGTGTATCCATCTATGTGCAATAACAATTAAACAAGTTAACTCAGTTAGCACACACGTACACATCACGCCCGTCAGCATTGGGTTAAAACTGGTGTCACACTTGGATATATATATATATATATATATATATATATATATATATATATATATATATATATATATATATATATATATATATATATACTAATGATAAGAACCATCAAAATAGTCCAACAAAAGTTTTTATAAACAATGGATAGCTTCTACCTCTAACCAGCTCTGGTGATACTCAATATCATCATGGCTATAAGGCGAAATGAAATAACTCAAAGATTGCACTTCATTATGCTCCTGGTTTAAGAGATAAGATCCAGAGTATATTTTGAAGTCATGTGACAGGGGAACAGGAGAACAAATGTAGATAAAATTGGTGAGCAACTTGTATTTCTTAAAATAATAAATACAAGAAAGAATTCTATCAATTATATTATATCAAACATACTACAGAATATCTTTTCAGATTGTTTAATAATCAATATAGATATGTTTTGCCTTAATGTAGTGAATAGCAATTATAGTTTGTGATCTGAACAAGAACTAGCAGAAACTTTGCAACTGAAAATGATAATTACCATTTCACTGGGAAATATCACATTCAGGTAACTTTTCAAACACCAAAATACTGAACCTTTGGTATAAAAGAGAATTATAAATATATATATATATATATATATATATATATATATATATATATATATATATATATATATATATATATATATATATATATATATATATATAAATTCTACTCACTTTTAAGCTGTCAAATGTGGCAACTGACATATTATGCATCTTGTTACTATTACAGGTAAAATCAATTTTAGCATTGCTGACAGCAAAGATTAGCGAAGCTGATATTGAAATAAAATACCCTTGACAACTAGGCATTTATTTTTATCTTGTGTACTTGCTTGGAAAATAGCCACTAGGAAAAAAATTCTGGACATGTAATGCATTAAATATAAATTAATTTCATAACATCAAACTCGAGCCCTTAGCAAACTCTCTCTTTCTCTGACATTTTTGGAGTGCCCACCTAAACTTCTCAAATATTTTTGTTTTATTAAATTCAAGCATTATCATTTGCTATATAGGGTCTATACTACTCAAAAGGTTTTACAGACAAGCAGGGTAAAAGAAGTTTTGGGTAACCATTAGATATGGATGCACTAAGCAAGGGCAAAATAATGATGATATTCTTGAATAGAACAAACAGTGGTTAAAGTATACAAAAGGACCGCACCGACTAGGAGAAAATTTAAGATCATACCGTTGTAGGCAATGAAAAACTACATTGACTGATATCAAAATTAATTTGCAGAAGCGTACCGATTCCAGTTAAACGACGAAAATAGATCGGGGTGAATGCCGCACTGCGGCTAAGTCCACTCAGCGTTGACGCGGCTAAGTCCACACGTGACCTATGTTTACCAAGTTCTCGCGCATTGTTAGCACCGACTGCTCGGCCACTGCGCACCTACGTCACATGACGTCGCGACGAATCATGTATTCCATTGTTTTTTTAGCTTTTCATTGATATTTTTCTTGCATAAACTTAAGATGTTATTTAAAGTATTTTTTGTCTATTTCATATTGACTTTGTTTCGTCAATTAAGGCCTGTGTTTGTTTTTTTAACAATGATTTCATTTCATACTTCGCATGCGTAAACTAAGGATGGCCACTTTGACAGCCGGTCAGTTTCAAGTATGACTAACCGGTGTCAAGACTGTGACAGTGGATTTGGTGTGTTTTTTTCTAAAAAATCAGGTGAAACTGAGGAAGTGGTTCACATTTACAAAGAACATGGCCTTATACTAAATACTACCGAGTGTGCAAAGTGTGGGGCAGACTGCCAAACGGATATAACGGATATACACTAAGGTATGTAAAACGATGACAGTAAAACTAGTGGGAAATACAGCGATCGGGAGGGGGTCCGGGGGTTAGGTTAGGTTTTTATTATTTTCCACTTCATGGAACTTTATTATTGCCGTTTATTAGCGATCTCCTCGCTATTCACCCCCCACAAACCCCCGCTTCCCCACGGGATCCCCCAAGATTGTTGGCTGTAGTTCGGGACTTGGTCTCCGACGGGTGCGGTCCTCTTATAAACATTTACCCAAACAGTTGTAGTTGTCAGTAGCAAGAATAATCTCCAAACACGAACAGTAATGCCACAAATAAAGGAAAAAGACTGCAGAAAATGCTGCTCACAGCCTAGGCATTATCTTCAGATTTGAACAATAATGCCACAAATAAAGATGCCTCTGTGTTTCAGCTCTAACTTATCCTGCATAACAAAGTAAACACAATGTTTACCAGGCGGTGTTGGCGTTTAGAGGCCCCAGTCAACCCTTACTCAGCCGTGGCAACTTTGATTGTTGAAATAATTCTATGGACTGGAGTTACGAGCTTAGTCTCTATCTAGTGGTTTTGTACTATAAAGAATTCCTGAAGGTTTTGTAAACGTAGTACGTCACGGCAAGGTTCTTCTTACAATAGGGTAGACTAAATATTCCTAGAGAGAACCATCATTGAAAATTACCCTTAATGCCTCTTCAAACATATAGCTAGTGATGCATTTTATTATGGTACACTTAAATAGGCTTAAAACATAACATAACAGCTCGAAAAAAGCTTTAAAATAAGAATTCAAGAGCATCTGACAACCTGTTCCTTCAGGAAATAGATATAATAGAATCTGCAGGTTTTCTTGCTAAAATACAAATGGTGGCAGTAGAGGCACAAACACTAGATAAATATCAGTAGCAAATGTATGGGTATTTAGTTCAGATTTCCCATAAATCAGAAATAAGTACTCTGTAGCACAAGTGAACCTGACTGAGAATAAAACATTATGACAGATCAATGCAATTTATGACAAATTATGTACTTAAAAGTCAAATTTGGTAGTGATCATGAATCAACAAGTAACATTCTGTAGAACTGATAATGACTGAGGATTCCAAGAGGTGAAGCCTAAAAAAAATGCTGAAAGTAGACAAATAGTGTGGAAGACATACTGATTCCACATTCAACTACTCAAAGCTCAACATCCGAAATGAAAAGCCTCAAAGGGCGCTGGAAATAGTGGCCGCACGAGGAGCGAGGCAAATTCAAACTAAAATCGCGAGGAGCAAACGTGCGAGAAAAAATGTCTGTTTGTTTACGTCTCCCTCCCCCTCCCCCCCTCGCCACTCACCCAGGACCTTCCACATGGCCATGTGCGTCTGAAGGAAGCCCTCCTTGATGGCCGCCAACACGTCCTCGTCGTCGTCGGACCAGAAGGCTCTCAGGCTCACGATGTTGTCCATTAGGTTGTCTTTGGCGAAGTGCGCGGCCTCCTTCCCGCCGTGGCCGTCGAAGATCCCGAAGAAGGCGTACTCGATGTCCTTCTTGTCGTGGGTCCTCTGGTAGGCCACCTGGAATTCATCCTCCATATACTTTCTGTCACCTTGATGTAGATACGCTGACGCGCGGAGGTTCACGCCAACACGACTCGACATTTCCAGGACTGCCTTCCGCCCTCGCGCGACACCATAACAGAAACGGTCTCGGGCCTTTCGAATGTGATTGGTCAGCGCGGGCATGACGTCACGGGGGCTCCTCGGGTGGTTTCGAATGCGATTGGTTAGTGGTGGCGTGACGTCATCGTAGCTCCTGCTGTGGTTTCGAATCTGATTGGTTGGGGAGGAGTGTGACGTCCTCCTGGGTTCCAATAACGTGTGTGACGGTGAAGGAGCCCGAACGCGAGCTGGATGGGTGGTGGGGGGGTGAGGGGGGTGAGGGCGCACCATGAAGTAACGGGAGAGTGTATGATGTATATTTATACACTAGCGGTAATATCATGGCAAGTGAAGGAAGTGGAACGAGTATGGAGTTTTAAATTGTTGTGAGGTTCATCTTTCACTTCAAAAAGAAATGTCTGATACTTTCATAACCGAGTCAACGGCAGACTTCGACAAATTTGAAAAGGCGTATTTCCATCAAATAATAGCATCTTTAAGGGCAATGTTGCTGTAATAACATGGCAATTTTACAGGGAATTTAGTTCAGTTTCACCATGGAGTACACAAGTTTAATTTCCTCGGGGGTAACTTTTCTTATATATAAAGAGCGCGCGAGAGTGTACATGTATCAGAGGAGCCGCACAAGAATACATTGTGCAATATGTCTTCACGGGGGAAAGAGAAAATAAAATGAGCAATCAAACTGGGCAAATTATCGGTGGTAATATATGATAACGATGTACGAACTAACCTTATTTTAAGGCAATAGTATTTTGTGTAGAAATGTAGTAGTCTTTGCTATTGTCATATTGCAGTGAAGTTGCAAAACGTTTTTTACATATACTAAAAATCAATTTACATAGACTTTATTGCATATTTCATAATGTTTTGGTAACAGCTTTGTTTATAACAAACTGCATTTCCCTACAAGATAAATCTGCAAGGTAATGTAAATATAGATCACCTTATTATGAAAGCAGTTTTAACAGAAAAGTTATTACCATAATTGGTTATTGACTTAATTTCAGAGGAATATTCAATAAGTGTATTAGTTCCTAAAATGCATTAGTGCACAAAAGAT